GTGTAGATGCTGTAAGGAGATCCGACATGTACTTTGGCTCCATGCCATGTACAGATTTATAGACGAGACGATAGTAAAGCCACTTTGAGTGGGTTCTGTAGTTTACTGGTGAACAGTTACGGGTTTAAGAACAGGAGTGATGTGCTGCGTTCTCCTGTTAACGCTCTAGCAGCAGCGTTCTGAGTAAGCTGCATTTGTTTCACCGCTGTTGCTAGAAGATGTTTGCAGCAGTCCAGCCTTCTGGAGATGAACACATGAATTAGTTTCTCTAGGTCTTGTTTTGACCTCCGAGTCTTCCTTATTGATGAAGATGAAGAAACGCTGATCTAGTCCTAGCCTTTCCTCCCCGTGTCCCGTCTGGCTGTGAAGCAAACAGAAGTGATGTCCGAATGATGAGCCTCACAGCCTGATACTTCAAACGTTATTGTCAGTGTTTTTGGGGGAAGAGAATTCCAGAGATGGGGAGCAGAGCAGCTGAATGCTCTGCTCCCCATGCTAACGAGGCGAGCTTGCGGCCTCGTTAGCATGGGGAGCAGAGCAGCTGAATGCTCTGCTCCCCATGCTAACGAGGCGAGCTTGCGGCCTCATGCCCCATCTCGCTCCCTCAGATCTGCAGATCAGCTGCTGTTGGTCAAAACAAGTCCAGAGGAGATGGAGCCGTCTTTCACCAAGACTCTGGAATGACCTCCCACCTCATGTCAGGCTGGCTCCATCGCCGGCGGTGTTTACGACTCGTTTCAGAACAGTTTTATTCGCTAGCGTTCAGTCAGGAGTGAGCAGGGACACTTGTTTAGCTTTTTTTAAGCTTGTATTTGTTTTTATTGTTGTTATGGTATCTGTTATGTTATTTTTAGTGTTCAGCACTTATGTCAATGTTAAGTGCTTTATGAATAATTGCTTGCTTTAATCAGCTACATTTCAAAAGAAGCAAAGTGACCAGAGGTTTGTAGTAATTAATACCTTGTAATTATGACCAATAAGAAGTGATATTCTATATAAATATGAAATATCAACCTGACTGATCTTTGAATGTTTCATCAGAAGATTCTCGGGTTCTTTGCTTCTTCAGGGATCATAAACACACTTCGTATTAATTCAGACAGAGTCAGTATGTAGTTTATAAAATGAATTTAATCATTTTCCTACACTAATAATTCATACATGACAAGATATGAATAATGAGAGGTGGTGTGGAGGATGTGAGGTGTTGTGATGGAAGCTAGATGTTGTAGCAACCCTTCTGTGTGTCTGAATTTGTTGTGTGTTGTAAACTAGAGACTTGTTTATTTATAAACCTCATCAGACTCCAGTATGCAGGCGTACGATACCCTGGTATCAGTTGCTCCCGGCGGTCCGGAGGGTTGCGGTCAGAGTGGTGAGGTCACCGGACGTCGAAACCACGATACTCAGAGTTAGTAGCTTCCTCTGAGCTCAGCTTCCCCGGCCATGAGATGCAACCCGGGTCTGCAGGTCAGGTGTCCAAGGTGGATGTCTGAGTAGAAGCAGCTCTGAAAAGAGCTGTTGTGTCATCATCACTCGCAGCGTCGCAGACAGGTTTAGACTTAAGGTCAAAGGAGGTTGGCTCTTTCCTGATCTGGCCGGTTCGAGAGTCAGCTGGAAACTGAATGAATCAGGAAGTAATTCTTGTTATTAAACTACTTTGTTATGATGTCTGGTCGAGTTTGGCCAATCAGAATGTGACACGTTTCTGAGTTTTTACCAACATCCGTCAGAAAGCCACGCCCTCCTCAGATACAAAGATGTTTAACCTTAATGAGTATCTTATGGTGATGTGTATGCGTGTAAACAACGATTAACGTGTTAAATCAAACACACACTCATCTGTGATGTAAATGGATCGTTGTAAGAACAAGATTCATTTTAAATTCATGGATTTAAGCACAGATTATTCAAACATCTGATTGAAACATCTTGTTCATCCATCACATCTGATTATTTAATGTATGAGTTGTAAAGTCACGAAGGATTCACTTGTTCAGAGTGAAGACTGACCTCTGGCGTTCACAGAGAGTGTAGGACCTTGGGAGAGAATGTTTCTCTTCTGTATGTCAGCACGCGCTGAACAGAACCTTCTGGTTCTGGAAGGCCAAACAGGAAGTGGATTTATTTCTGTAGATGGAAGGTTATTATGTTGGTCAATGTAAAGGTGAAACTGGACCCTTTTGGTATGTTACAGGTTGTAGAGCTACATGGAAGATGGTCTCTGAAAACAACAGCTAGGCCTCCACCACGACCAGAACCTCGGGGCTGGCTAAGAACAGAATAACCACTCGGGCAGAGTTCAATCAGAGCAGAATAATCAGATGTTTGCTGCCAAACTTCAGTCAGAAACAGAAAATCCAGGTTTTTAGAGAGAATTAGATCATTGAGCAGGAAGGACTTATTGTTAACAGAGCGGGTGTTTAATAGAGCCATGCTGAGTGAGGTGGAGGAATCAGAAACTACAGAAACAGCTGGAGTTAGTGGACGTACCTTAGCGGGGTTAGATCCACGCCTGTTGGAAATTTGATCTTGGCTCTCAGGTTATTACTCAAACTTAGCATGTTAATCATGTTGCTCGGGCCACTCATGTCCATCCACACATGTTCTAACAGTTATGTGAAGCAAACATGTTAAACATTCATAATACTCTGATTATATGGTGTTGGATAGATTAACATCATATCAGACTAGGGCTGGGCAACAAATGGAACATGTATCGTTATGGAAATGTCTGACTCTTACGGGGACCATTTTCCCCACGTCAATAAATTAGATCATGAAAAATGGAAAGATGTGTAGGTTGGCCACGTTCGTGTCCTTTAAGAAGCTGTAGCACCTTGAGCCACGTAGAAATGTGACTGTACGTAGTACGTGCGACAGCCCCATCTAGTGAGCAGCGTTTCCACCGGGAGTTATCGTCCATCTATCGTTATCGGGGTGAAGTCCTCCAGATGTCGTGATAGTGATTTTAGGCCGTATCGCCCAGCCCTGGGTGTAGTTTCAGATCTGAAGTGGATCACTACAGGAAAAATATTCACTTGGACTCATCATTGATTAAATTAAAGCACGGATGTTTCAAACACTTTGGAATTAAACAACTTGTTCATTCAACACGTTTGACTAGAGCACCTGTAAAGTTGTACAGTTGCTTATGAAGCTAGGGTTAGGGTGATTCAGAGAGAGAGCAGAAAGCCTCGTCTTCCAGCACTTATTCTATTACGAGGTCGTAGATGCTTGATCTTCTGGTTTGGAGGCCAGACAGCTGCAGTGCGTCCCTGGGTGTGTGACGCAGTTTGTCTGCTAAGTTCAGATCATTTCTGGTCAGTTTTGATGTGAATACTTGACCTTTGGGTGCGCTACAGCGGGGTGAGCACTAAACTCCTCTGCCATCGTCACCCCTAATCATTTGGTGTTCTCGTGGGAGCAGATGTGTGCAGATGTTCAGCAGTCGGTGTGAACAGCAGTGCATAAGGAAACTGCATTCATGTTCTGTGACCGTTATCTCGCAGTGAAGCAGAGCTTTAACTAACTAAGTGTTGTAAAACCTGAGATCTGAGTGGAGTTTTAGTTCATCCATGCAGAAGTCAGAGCAGACATGTTGGATTAGCTTCACATGAAAACCTTCTGACCCACAAGGCAGCGTTTCTACTACAGCTGCAGCCGCGAGGATCTAGTTCAGAGAGTCGTTGTTCCTAAATGAGAAATCACCTCGCTTGTATAGCACCCTACAGAGCCAGAGGACTCCAACGCTCTCATTCATCCATTCACACTCTGGTGGTGAAGGGCTACGATGTAAATGCCTCTGACATGTATTAACCCTGCTCTGCTTCGTCCACATGCTAGACTCAGAGGATTTATGCTGGAAGGTAGGTTTGTATGGTGTGTGTGTGTGTGTGTGTGCGTGTGTGTTGTGTGTGTGCGTGTGTGTGCTCCACTAACACAGCTGACTGTCTTGTTTCAGGAGGTTTTGGAACACGACGAGCGCTGCTTCGTCTGTAGGGAGGATGGAGAGCTGCAGCTCTGCTACAACTGCCCCCGAGCCATCCATCCCAGCTGCCTCCACCCACCTTTGAGAAGCACCCCCAGAAGCCCCTGGTACTGCCCCAAGTGTCAAAAGAAGGTGTGACTCTGGCCTGCTTCACCCTGGTGTTGGTATGAGAACATGAAGCTGAAACTTGTTTGTGTTTCAGGTTCTGAACAAGGAGAACTTGTCATGGCCTCAGAACGTTGTTCAGTCCTACGTTACGCACAAGACAGGTGACATTCAGTTTGTTGTTCTTTCATAGTGACGGTGTCTGTGTCTAAACTAACAGCTTCACGGGCAGAATCATCAAAAGTGCATCGCAAAGATAAAAAAGAGTAAAGTCATAAAATTATAAAATGATCACAAGTCAAACTACAAAATGAAACAATAAAAACACAAGATTTAGGTAAACAACAGGTTTTGTAAAGGTGCCAACGCCATCAGTACCGGCAAGGGTAGAGGAAATCCATTTCAAAGTTGGGCTTCAACGGCCTAGAAAGAACGATCTAGAAGGTTCTGGTTCATGGACCTGAGGGCCCAGGTTGGAGCATAAGGCTTAAACACAAAGGTGCCCAATCCTGGTCCTAGAGGACCGGTATCCAGCAGGTTTTAGTCTTAACACTGCTTCAACACACCTGATCTCCAGTAATCAGAAGGTTGCAGGTTCGATCCCGGCTCTAGACAGAGAGCCTTGTGTCCTTGGGCAAGACACTTAACCCACCTCGCCTGCTGGTGGTGGTCGGAGGGACCGGTGGCGCCTGTGCTCGGCAGCCTCGCCTCTGTCAGTGCGCCCCAGGGCAGCTGTGGCTACATCGTAGCTCATCACCATCAGTGTGTGAATGGATGAATGATACACTGTAGTGTAAAGCCCTTTGGAGTCCTTACTCTGAGAGGCGCTACACAAGTGCGGGTCATTTATCATAACTTTGTTAGCCTTTCACAACATTACCACAGCATTCCTCACCGCTGGTGTCCAACAGCGGTTCGAGGGTTGCCTCCACATCAGGCACGACGGCCCTGCAGCCACAGCTCCGGTCGGCTGCCTCAACAATGGAGGCACGGAACAAGGCCATGTGGACTCAGTGTCCCCCACCTCCCCCAGAAAGCTTTGGAAGTTCTGTCAGAGGGGGAACTGAAGCTCCTTCTGACAGCACATTCACAGCAGATCCTCACAATATGTTTGGGCCTGGCACGACTGCCCCGCTCCCCCCCCCACCATCTGAGCCAACTCACCACCAGGAAGTGGTCAGCTGACAGCTCCGCCCCTCTCTTCACCCAAGTGTCCAAGACATGCGGCCGCAGGTCAGACTAACTCACAACAAAATCATCATCAGCCTGAGGTATTCTAGTGCCAAGTGCACATGTGAACATGCACATGGGCTGCATGGTGGCGTAGTGGTTAGCACTGTTGCCTCGCAGCACGAAGGTCGCAGGTTCAAAACTCGCCTTTCTGCGTGGAGTTGCGTGTTCTCCCCATGCATGCGTGGGTTTTCTCCGGGTACTCCGGTTTCCCCCACAGATCACAACATGCCCTATAGGTTAAAAAATAATTGTAAGTCGCTTTGGGTAAAAGCGTCTGCTAAGCACATAAACATAAACATAAACATGTGAACACATTCATGCCTTTATGACATGGTGTTTGTTGACAGCTCTAGGACTGTCGTTCATGAGTCCAACAGCAGAGGGAAAGAAACTGTTCTTGTGGTGAGAGGTTCTGGTCTGAGACGGTCTGAGTCAGAGACGTGTCAGCTGTGATCCGACCTGCATACCTGCATGGTCCTGGAGGCGTACATGTCCTGTATGGAGGGGAGTTTGCAGCCAGTGACCTTCCTAGAGCACACAACACGCTGCAGCTTCTTCTTGTCCCTGGTGGTAGCTCCAGCGTACCACAACCCTGAGGGGAACCGGTGCTGCTGGCCTGCAGGTCAGAGACATTCTTTACCAGCCTGACCTGCTGCTTCCTGCCTGTCAGGAAGTCAGTGATCCACCTGCAGATGGGGTGAGGAACGTTCATCTGGGACAGTTTGTCTTGGAGGAGGTCTGGGAGGATTGTGTTGAAGGCAGAGCTGAAATCCACAAATAATAATCTGGCGTAGGTACCTGGGGAGTCCAGATGCTGCAGGATGAAGTGTAGAGCCATGTTGATGGCATCATCTACAGACCTGTAGACCTAGGAACCACCAGTAAACCTGCAGTCTGAGAGCGAAGTGCTCGGTTAGGAATGTATGGAACAATCAGATCACTGATGTATGATGGAGCTTGATTATTAAGAGCTTTATATGTGAGAAGAAGGATCTTAAAATCTATTCTGAATTTAACAGGTAGCCAATGTAGGGAAGCTAAGACAGGAGAGATATGATCTCTCTTTTTAATTCTCATCAGAACTCTAGCTGCAGCATTTTGGACAAGCTGAAGACTTTTAACTACATTCTGTGGACTTCCTGAGAGTAATGGATTACAGTAATCCAGTCTTGATGTAATAAATGCATGAACTAGTTTTTCAGCATCACTCCTGGAAAGGATGCTTCTCATCTTAGCAATATTCCGAAGGTGGAAAAAGGAAATCCTACAAACCTGTTTAACCTGGGATTTGAATGACATGTCCTGGTCAAAGATAACACCAAGGTTCCTTACTTTGTTCTCGGAGATTAATGTAATGCCATTCAGGTCAGGTGATTGGCTAAGCAATTTCCTTTTCTGGATCTCTGGTCCATAGATGAGAACTTCCGTCTTGTCTTGATTTAAAAGCAAAAAGTTTAGAGTCATCCAATGTTTTATGTCCTCAAGACAAGCCTGTAATCTACCCAACCGATTAGGTTCATCAGGGTTAATGGATAAATATAACTGAGTATCGTCAGCATAACAGTGGAAGTTTATCCCATGCTGTCTAATGATTTTACCAATTGGGAGCATATATATAGTAAAAAGAATTGGTCCAAGCACTGAACCCTGTGGTACTCCACAAGTAACCCTGGAGTATGAAGAAGATTTGTCATGTACATTTACAAAATGAAATCTGTCAGACAGGTAGGATTTAAACCAGCCTAACGCTGCTCCTTTGATCCCTACAACATGTTCAAGTCTTTCTAAAAGAACATTGTGATCAACTGTGTCAAAGGCAGCACTGAGATCTAACAAGACTAGAACAGACACAAGATTCTTATCTGAGGCCATGAGAATATCATTTGTAACTCTCACTAATGCAGTTTCAGTGCTGTGATACTCTCTAAAACCAGACTGAAATTCCTCAAACAGAGCATTAGTGTTTAAATGCTCACATACTTGGATGGCCACTATTTTCTCCAGGACTTTGGATAAACATGGAAGGTTAGATATTGGTCTATAATTCATTGGGTCATCTGGATCCAGAGAAGGCTTCTTAAGTGAAGGTTTGATTACAGCAACCTTAAAATCTTGTGGTACATACCCATTTACTAAGGATAGATTGATTATATCTAGAATGGGGGCAGTAACCAAAGGAAATGCTTCTTTAAATAATTTGGTTGGGACTGGATCCAAAATGCAAGTTGAAGGTTTAGATGAAGCTAATATTTTTGATAACTCTGAAAGCTCAACTGGATCAGAACGGTTCAAGCACAGATGAGGTTCTACAGTCACCTCTGATGCTGCCTCACTTACTGAGGAAGAAGAAATCGCATTAGGGAGGATGCTAAAGATTTTGTTTCTAATAGAATTAATTTTACTTGTAAAAAATCCCATGAAGTCATTGCTGCTGAGGGCTAAGGGAATAGATGGCTCAGAGCTATGATTCTGTGTAAGTTTAGCAACTGTACTGAAAAGAAATTTAGGATTATGCTTATTCTCCTCAATTAATGCTGAAAAATAAGCAGTTCTAGTTTGTTGAAGCTTATTTTTATAAAGCACAAGACTATTTTTCCAGGACAGGTAGGCCTCCTCATGGTGCGTAGAGCGCCATGTTCTCTCCAATTTCCTAGAGTTTTGTTTTAAGGCTCGTAGATGAGAGTTAAACCACGGAGCCAACTTCCTGTCCCTAATTACCTTCTTTTTTAAAGGGGCAACATCATCTAATGCCACACGTAAAGAGGAATTAACATGATGAACTAAGGCATCAATTTGTGAGGGGCTAGAACTGAAAATATTGCCCTCTGCTACGTTCCTCTGAGATGCTGAGGACAGTAAAGATGGAACAGTTGATTTAAAAGATGCAACTGCGTTGTCAGATAGAGACCGACTATAGTGAAATTTACTTTCATGTCTCGAGAACTTAGTTATAAAAAACTCAAAGGTTATCAGAAAGTGGTCCGAGAGGACTGGATTATGTGGAAAGATCGTTATTTCCTCACACTCAATGCCATAAGTCAGCACAAGGTCCAATGTATGATGGCAGGAGTGGTGGAGCTATGTATTCTTTGAGTAAAACCAATTGAGTCTAAGATATTACTAAAGGCTACATTGAGGCTATCATTTTCAATGTCCACATGAATGTTGAAATCCCCCACTACAATGACCTTATCAGTATTTAGCACCAAATCAGATAAAAAATCAGAGATCTGATCCAAAAACTCAGAGTAAGGGCCTGGTGGACGATATAAAACTACAAACAAGAGTGGTTTTACAGTTTTGCAATCTGGATTAGGAAAACTAAGAATAAGATGTTCAAACGAACTGAAACTATTAATCTGTAAGGGACTGATTAATAAGTCCGAATGAAAAATGGTTGCCACTCCTCCTCCTCGCCCTGTACTTCGAGCAATATGATGATTTAAATAATTTGAAGGAGTCGACTCGTTTAAGCTAACATAGTCCTCTTGCTGCAGCCAGGATTCTGTGAGAGAGAGCAAAGAGATCTGATTATCACAAATCAAGTCATTAACTAACAAAGTCTTAGAAAAAATGGATCTAATGTTCAACAACTCACATTTAATTTCTCTAGTTTTCTGCTCAGTTGAATTTGTTCTAATATTTATGAGATTTCCATGATTTTCTTTATTAAGCCTGATATTTAATCTTTGTGATTTTGGCCGTGGGCAGGACACTGTCTCTATGGGGTAGTGAGTACAGAAGCTGCAGAGGGGTGGGTTAAACTACGACTCTGCTTCCTGGTCTGGACCCTGGGTTGTCATGGAGGACTAATAAAACTGGCCATGTTCCTAGAAAGAAGAGCTGCTCCACCCAAAGAGGGATGGATGCCGTCTCTCCGCATCAGACCAGGTTTTCCCCAAAAAGTTTTCTAATTATCAATGTAGCCCACGTTGTTTTAAAATGCTGGCTAGATATGAATAGAAATCACTTTTTCACAACTGTGGAGATTAAACTCCCTGCTAGCTACATGTAGAGAGTGGGTGTTAGTGTTTACCGTCCAAAGGAGAAGGGATCAGGACTTGAGACTACCTAGATGGGGAGGAGTGGGTCATGATAATGTAGCAATAACCTGATCCAGCTGAACTCAATAGCTTAGCAACAATTTGCAGATCAGAAGGAAAGAAGCAGCTGAAACAGGAAAAAGCATGTGTGAGGCCAAAATCCACTTTGGGGTGAGGAAATAACAAAATCACATCGTCACAAGCTCCAAACGTGGATTTTATATAATATAGGACTTTTAAAGAGCAAGTCACCCCCTACCAGTTTCATACTTCGCTCCCACTTCATGCTTGAAAAATGCAACAAATGCTGTTGCCTGGCAGATCAAGAGGGCGGAGCCGTTATCAACTACACACACACAGGCTCACAATGACATTGTGACATCATAATGTACCAGCTAATGTCGTTGTGTACCTCTTAGCCAACAGCGATGGCAGATTTAAATTTAAATGCAGTGAAACAGCAACAGTTTTAGGCAGAATATTTAAATGTTAACTAAGATTGACTACGCGTGTCTACAGCACGACTAGACACTCGTTTATACAGTTTATCAGCAAACATATGTTGGTGACTTGCTCTTTAATTACACATTCATCACGATGCGATGGGTGTGGTGGTAACAATGTGTGTGTGTGTGTGTGTGTGTGTGTGTGTGTGTGTGTGTGTGTGTGTGTGTGTGTGTGTGTGTGTGTGTGTGTGTGTGTGTGTGTGTGTGTGTGTGTGTGTGTGTGTGTGCAGTGAGGCAGGAGGAAAAAAGGCGGCTGATGAAACGAAACAACGAGCTGAAGAAGGAGTGTGCTCACCTGGAAGAGCAGGACCAGAGGCTCAATAAGACACTTAAAGTAATGGTGCTGCTGACGTTCACCGACCTTCATCTACAGGCGGCGACTCAGTTCTTTGTTTTTTGTCTCCAGTTCTGCGTCGATCAGCGTGAGCGGCTCCTGGGACAGCAAAGAGACACCCAGGCATCCCTCGATCGTCTCAAAGCACTCATCACACTGATCCAAGTCACCATGACGACCCAGCCTTGGATCAAATCCACCAGCGCCATGTCAGCCACACAGCTGACCCAGGATGACATCACAAACTAAAAGTGTTTCTGATACCCAACACCTCCAGTGCTTATGAGATTTTTGAAGTTATTTTCTATTTATTCTTTGCCTTAATGTATTTATGATATAATAAGGGTCCAGCGTTGCTACGGAAACAAGCATTGATGTAATCCAGTAGATGTTGGTTCTTTTCCTCTTGTGAACAAAGTTTCTGCCAAATGAGTTCAGGATGAAGTTTCTGATTCAAAAGCAGACGAGCCTTCAAACAAAAACAGAATTTCAGTATTAATAGAGTCAGAATATTTAAGACGAAACTACAGAAAACTAGCTTCTAGAGGAGAGTTTAGTATTTTCATGCCTGTTGGTAATTGTATGTCTGGAGTATCGGAGGGGATGACCATATCATCATCATCATCATCATGTCCTGGTCACAATCAAAAACAAGTTTCACTTCTAAAATTGCAGAAACCCAGAACCTTTCAGGACCGCGGACAGCTCCATACTGCTTTAAAGCGACTACGGCAAAAATGGAAAACAAGCTGGCTTCAAACATGTTTCCTCTCTCAACAATCTTCTTACGTAGTATAGCTATAAATATGTTGTGGAGATAAAACTAATCAAATGGTTCTGTCACGTGTCTAAAAACCTCCACCAATAACACGCTTCGTACTGAAACCAACCACTGGAACGTCCAGTTGTCGGGCTCACCCAACCACCGCACTTCCACCACTCGTATTTACCTCCAGAACACCGCTGGTGTGGAGGTTCTCCACTCAGCTGCCAGGAGGGGCGAGAGTTTTGTGTTTGTGATTAAATGCTAGCTTGTTTTTCAGATTTGCAGCTTTTGTCCAAACAAGTTTTAACTTTTGTCCCCCAGCCTGAGCCTGAAACCTCTGGAGAACATTTCCCACAGGTTGTTATAGAACATGTAGGAACAGTGAGGCCAACCGGATCGTCATTCAGTCATAAAGGTGCAGGTTATTGACACCAAATGTAATCGTCTCGTCTCCTTCTGCCTATCCGGGTCGCGGGGGCAGCATCCCAACTATGGAGTTCCAGACGTCCTCCACCAGCTCCTCCAGTAGGACCCTAAGGCTGAGCCCGGCCACCCCGCGGAGGAAACTCATTTCGGCCGCTTGTATCCGCGATCTCGTTCTTTCGGTCATTACCCAAAGCTCATGACCATGGGTGAGGACTGGGCGGTAGATGGACCGGTAAATGGAGAGCCTGGCTTTCCAGCTCAGCTCCTTCTTCACCACAACAGACCGGTTCAGCGTCCGCATCACTGCAGACGCTGCCCCATTCTGCCTGTCAATCTAACCCTAACCCTTCCCTCACTCGTGATCAAGACCCCGAGATACTTGATCTCCTCCACTTGAGACAGGACCTCTCTCCCGACCCGGAGTTGGCAAGCCGCCCTTTTCCGGTCCAGAACCATGGTCTCAGACTTGGAGGTGCTGATCCTCATCCCAGCCGCTTCACACTTGGCTGTGAACCTCCCCAGCAAGAGCTGAAGGTCAGCCTGATGAAGCTAGGAGGACCACATCATTGACATAAAGCAGAGACACCACCCTCACCACCACCCTCAACACCACCCTCACCACCACCCTCAACACCACTCTCACCAACACCCTCAACACCCCCTCAACACCACCCTCAACACCCCCTCAACACCACCCTCACCACCACCCTCAACACCACCCTCACCACCACCCTCACCACCACCCTCACCACCACCCTCAACACCCCCTCAACACCCCCTGAACACCACCCTCAACACCACCCTCACCACCACCCTCAACACCACCCTCACCACCCCCTCAACACCACCCTCAACACCACTCTCACCACCACCCTCAACACCACTCTCACCACCACCCTCAACACCCCCTCAACACCACCCTCAACACCCCCTCAACACCACCCTCACCACCACCCTCAACACCACCCTCACCACCACCCTCACCACCACCCTCACCACCACCCTCAACACCCCCTCAACACCCCCTGAACACCACCCTCAACACCACCCTCACCACCACCCTCAACACCACCCTCAACACCACCCTCACCACCACCCTCACCACCACCCTCAACACCACCCTCAACACCACCCTCACCACCACCCTCAACACCCCCTCACCTCCACCCTCAACACCACCCTCACCACCCCCCTCAACACCCCCGTCAACACTCCCCTCAACACCACCCTCACCACCACCCTCAACACTCCCCTCAACACCCCCTCAACACTCCCCTCAACACCCCCTCAACACCCCCGTCAACACCACCCTCACCACCACCCTCACCACCCCCCTCAACACCACCCTCGACACCCCCCTCACCACCCCCGTCAACACTCCCCTCAACACCACCCTCACCACCACCCTCAACACTCCCCTCAACACCACCCTCAACACTCCCCTCAACACTCCCCTCAACACCACCCTCAACACCACCCTCAACACTCCCCTCAACACCACCCTCACCACCACCCTCACCACCCCCCTCAACACCCCCCTCACCACCTCCGTCAACACTCCCCTCAACACCACCCTCACCATCACCCTCAACACTCCCCTCAACACCACCCTCAACACTCCCCTCAACACCACCCTCAACACCCCCCTCAACACCACCCTCAACACTCCCCTCAACACCACCCTCAACACCCCCGTCAACACCACCCTCACCACCACCCTCACATGTAATAAACTAGAAACCTGAGACCTTTGACCAACCCATTGTGTTTCCAAACGTGTAACTTTTACATTCTTGTTCATCACTTCCATGTCCGTGACGCCACAAACCCACGTGAAGAATGGCTCACGGAGACCCATACAGCTGATTTATGCAAATGTAAAAAGTAAAAGTGATTAGATGGTTCGGGAGTTTATTGCCTTCTTGTTTCTGTGTCTTGAAAAAGATCTTGGGTTTTTTTGTGATCAGGGCAGCAAACAGGACATGTGGTGAAACCATTAAGCCCCTCCCACTTATCTAGTATGGAAAGTATGCCAAAAACATTTTGTTTTATACCGGGCGGGACCAGCCACCTCCCAGTTTACGCTTGTTTTTGTATTTAAATGTTCAAATGGCGACAGATGAGCACTGCCTCTCATTGTTTCAGGGTTTTCGTGTTTGTTGTTCCTTTTTTTAAATCAGAGGTGGAATGTCTCTACGGAGCTGCAACAACAGCTGTGAGTCTTCCTGCTGGTCCAGAGAAATCCCTCTTCAGCTTTTGGTTTCTGGTACTGTACCCAGCGGCCCGTGGCGGCGCAGCTCGGATGCACAAATATGAGGAAAGCATCTTGTGTCCAGACTTCTTAGGAATCATATCCAGCTCACCGTGTTGGAGCGGCCTGCTGCTACCAACACGGTGATGTTCTGACCCGTCTGTGGAGCTGTCAACAAAACCCAAGCCACCAACCACAGCAAGATGCTCAGCTAAAGCACAATCCCACAGCAGCAACAAGAACAAGATGTCAGATTAAGGGTCAGGGTAGGACACCACCTGGTCCTAAAGCACACATCCAAAACATGCCGTGGGCCCAGAAGTAGCCTGCGGACAGAATTACGGGCAGAACCGTCTTTGAACAACATGCTGCAATAATCTCATCTAAGTCCACAAACCTGCCCAGACGGCCTCTGGATCAGATGGAACGGGTGCATAGAACTCCGAACCGAGTCTCAGATCGAGGTCTTGGTCCGGTTTTGGTCAGTCTGACGCCTGAAAATCAGATCCGATTCCCATCTCCTTGCTCTCCAGCCTGAGCATCTGCAGGACAACGGCCTGCCTTTACAGAGTGAAAGCATTGTGATCTGTTTTGATGACAGGAATGTGTCGTGGTGCATTTCAGGGCCTCGCCTGAAAGTTGGACCTAGATGGAGATCAGCAGCAACCTGTCTTCTCAGTTGGAGTTGGACAAAGAAGCAACCCTCACCGCCGCAGACCCTCTTCATCCATTCTAAAAGATCTTCTCTGGGAGAAACCGCAGCGCTTAAACAGATCTATTTTACTACACGACACATTTGAACAGAACTATTTTATATTCTGTGGTTGTGTTGTGCCATGAGGCGGCACGGTGCGTAGATGCAGGAGAAGTAGAAGTTTCCGTTGGGAGTCTGCCCGGTGGACTGTGTGTGTATAGGAAGTGTTTGTCTTTAATATGCCAACGTAGTTTTTTTTCTTGCTGGCGCATCTGGAGCTGATGGACGGATGTTAAACTGTAGTCTCACATTTTCTACAAGTTCTTACAAGAAAACCGAATCAATAAATTCAAGAACAAACTATTCGAGTCTTTTTGGATCCGCTTGTATTTTTGTTTTAAATGGTCAGTTTTATTCAGCGAGAGTAACAAATGGTGTTAAAATGTGATGAAAGCATTCAAGGAGGAAGAGCAGACGTTCTTTTAGAAGAGAACAAAACTCTTCGTTCTGATTAAAGACAAGCTGGAAGGAATGAAACTCTTGATTGTTAAATTAGAAAATTACTGAGAAAAAAGGTCCAATTTGAAAATCACCGAGGTGGAAGAGCCAGAAGGACCTAACCTCAACGTTTTAGTTCCTCAGACACACGTCGGGACTTGGTTCAGGCGTTTTCCCTGCAGCCTCGCCTGGTCACAGACATCTGTCTATGGTTTTAGAGGCTTCAACAAAACAACTTTTGGCCGTTTTCATGCCATTAAAGACATTTGATGTCAGGGAGAAACGTTGGTTCCTCCAGAGGAGCTGGCCCAAGTGGCCGGGGAGTGGGAGGTCTGGGCCGCGACCCGACCAGATGGGTGGGTGAACATGTATTTATTTTAAAAATTGACCTTTTTTTCACATTAATGTTTATAAAATTTGAGTTTTATTAAACCTAAACATTAAAAAACTTCTAGATCTTCAAAAAACAAAATCCAAAATGATCCATCTTCATGTCCTCCAGACCCTGAAGGTCAAAGCTCAGTAGGAAACTAAATGAGGAGAAGCAGCCAATGTCCTGTGTGGGTTTGACCCATTTCCTGAACTGGACTCAAGTGTTCTGATGCTGAAATCAGGGAGTTACCTGTCCAGGTGGGCAGCGAGAGCTTCATGGCGTGGAAGGGTTTGATGTGGATCTCCATGGGTGTCAGAGCGATGGAACCGTGATGAGGCCAGACCAGGTGGACACACTCATCTTCTTTATGAGGCTTTCTTGAGACACCTGGAGGCAACTCACCTGTTCAGTCTCCTCTTCACAAAAGCACAAGGCCTGATCACACACCATCTTCTGCAGGAAGAACAGCAAGAATTTCAGCACAGTGAAGTGTTCAGGAAGAGGATCTGTTTGCACCGGGTCGCCCGCAGGCTGCTCTCCAAACCTGAGAAGTCCAACAGCTGAGACTGGATTCGTGTCTCAGGTCCAGAACCTGATGGTTGGTTGTAGATCCTGAACCTGGTCATAGATCCTGAAGGTGAGCAGCGGTTCTTGCAGCTCTCGGAGAAATGTCTTCAGCATCACGGCGGGAACGTGGACATCCTGGAAGTAGTCAAAGTTCACTGGTTTGGACCGAATATCAACATTAAAATGCTGAGACATTATTTCACTTTTACATCCAGGTTTTGATTTCCTTTTACGACAACGTTACACAAATGATTTCCTCGGCAGCTGCAGGTGAAATCCAGAAGTCCTCACTGACCCAGGCTGTAAAGTTTTAATGTCCTTGATGGTTTGAACACAAACCAAACGCCAGAAGATCCCTTCCGTCATCACACCTGGAACGCAGGTAAAACAGGTCCAACAGATCTAACCCGGGTTCTGGGTCTGGACTTTTTGGGAGGTTTGTGTAAAACGGGTCAGGATGAGGAAGACTTTGTTCTGAAACGTGGATGTCTATCAGCAGAGCTCTGTTTGCTTTAATGCTCCTTCCTTGTTCTGAAAGCCAAACATCAGAAGACATTTGTTCAGTCTCGGCGATTCTTCTCATAATCTGGGCAGCCGTCCACGGACTGGAAGGTTCAATCCCCAGGACCCGTGGGCCACGTGCCACGTATCCCTGGGGAAGATACCCTGAAAGGTGGCTCCTGGGCGTGACTGCAGTCCACTGCTCCTCATGGAGGGGTCAAAGGATCAATCACGTATTTTGATGTGCTGTGAGAACCAGCAGGTGGCAGTGTTTCAGCAGCCAGGTTCAACAGAGCTCCAGAATCCCAACCTCACAACAACATGAAGTTTACTGAAGCACAACAAATCCCATGATGCTCTGCTGCAGTTCGTTTGAGACGCGCTAATCCAGAGCCAGACACCAGCATTCCCCAGGACAAGGCGGGAGCACACCTTTCCCCTACAGGTATGCCATCACAGGGGAACAATCGCGTCCTCGTTCTTCTCCCTGGGGTTCACAGAGGGAGGGGCTCCGCCTCCATGACTGTGATGACGTGTGGTCAGGAACAGGATTCAGAGGGGTGCTGACAGAATAGAGACAGCTACCTGAGGACTTGTGGTGGTCTGAGGAGCTGATCAAAGCTCAGGTGTTCCTCAAGCTCTCCCAGGTAGTTCACACATGTCAGGTTATTTCAAAACTTGTGACTGAAATTAAAACATAAACTATCAGAAGGTCAGCATGAGAAGAGACGGCTATCAAAACCAAATCTGATTGGATACCAGCATGGGGCCAATGCCACACTGGTGAATACTTGTTAGAAAGCTCCTGTGCTGCAGAACTGACACGTTTCACTCCAGCAGACCCTGTCCCAGCCAGCAGCAGCAACTGCACATGAGCGGTGGCTGGCAGCCTTCGATAGCGAGCTGAACAGCAGCTTCAGATGATGCAGAACTCATTTGTTGTGCTGCCCTGTGGGTCCCGTGTAAAAACCCTAACCCATTCATCCATTTTCTGTCAGAGTTTGAGCCGCTCCCAAACCAGTAATCAAACTAAAGTCACTGCGGCTTCAGGTTTTAGCCATTTCTGCTGTTGTTGTGTGTCTCGATGAGCCAAGCCACGCATTCATTAAACACCAAGCGTCCAGCCTCACAAACCTAAACAACAGAGGACAAAGACAGCCTGGTCAGAGTTTGTGTCAGGGGAAGACGACAATAGGAAGGTGGGTCTGTCCCAGCTTCATGGGGCAGTGCAGACACCCTTCAGTCTACACCAGCAGGTGTCAGCACACAACTCCAGCTCCCCCAGAACCCCCCAGTGTCACGATGCACCTTAAAACTGGAAGTCATCAACTTCCACATAATACATCCAAACCCTGCCCCTTCCAGAGATCTCCCTCCCCATAATGCAGGAACCAAGGTCCCCGAGCCAGGGCCAGGCAGTGCTGCGTGCACCCACCCATGCCACTGGCAGCACACGAGCCAGGACCCAACCCGCCTAGGCCCAGCTCAGACCCCCCATCAGAGGACCATCCACCCCAGAGCCCAAGCCACCAGGCCCTCACCCAGACCCACCCAGGAGCAACACAGCTATCAGCCAGTGACCTGTTGCCAACATCCCAGACCCCCAAGGCCCGATACACAGCCACAAGAAGGATATCCCCAAGGTCACCAGGCCGGAGCAGCAGCAACATTAATGTTGCGTCGGTGTGTAAGTTTGCCAAAACAATGTCGGACTCCATAATTTTCTCTGGCCCCCTCCCTGATCGGACCAGTGACGACATGTTTAGCCGCATGCTGTCCTTCAACCGCTGGTTGTCTAGGTGGTGTCCTGAAAACAACGTGGGCTACATTGATAATTGGAAAACCTTTTGGGGAAAACCTGGTCTAATGCGGAGAGACGGCATCCATCCCTCTTTGGATGGAGCAGCTCTTCTTTCTAGGAACATGGCCAGTTTTATTAGTCCTCCATGACTACCCAGGGTCCAGACCAGGAAGCAGAGTCGTAGTTTAACCCACCCCTCTGCAGCTTCTGTACTGTTACCCACCCACTACCCCATAGAGACAGTGTCCTGCCCACGGCCAAAACCACACAGATTAAATATCAGGCTTAATAAAGCAAATCATGGAAATCTCATAAATATTAGAACAAACTGCATCAACTTGAAGAAATATATAATCAACATTGTTTAACTGAACAGTCACACGATAATAAATCACAGTTCATTTAGTGCCAACCACAGCCTTAAGACATGTGTTGAACGTGCCCAAGCCCATACTTATGAGAGCATCATGTGAGCACCTGTGTGTGTACACACGCTTGTTTATGTAAGGTTTCTCTATAGGAGCGTCCAACAGAGAGTGTGAGGGACCACAGATCCGCCCCCCAAAGATGCGCAGGAGACGGGGGGAGCTCCAAGTCCCAGAGATCCAGGCGCTGCCCCAGAACACAGGAACCCCAAGGAGACTGCAACCAGAAAAGCCCCCGCCTCGAGAGGCACAGAGGATCGCCCCGGGGGGCCACAACCAGCAGCCGGCAGAGTCCCGGGAGATATCAGCGGGCAAGAAGAAGAAGAAGAAAGTATCATTTTGTTTTCCTAACAAGGAGATCCTCACATTTGTGAGCTCCAGCTTTAACCTGCATCTGCACAACAGGGGATCACACTACTGAGCCTCCCTGGTAAGGTGTATTCAGGGTGAAGAGAGAGCTGAGCCAGAAGCCAAAGCGCTCATTTTACTGGTTGATCTGGATTGGTAGTCATTCCAGTCCAGCTGTCAAGTGAGAGCACCTGGTTGTGCGAGCTGTCAAGTCTGGCGGTGTTAACTGGTTTTAATCCTTTTCGGTTGTAACCGTTTTTTTGTCTACCACTGTGAGCTTTTTATTTAATTTTTTTACTTTTTAAATAACTTTTTGGAGCTCCACTGTGTTTTACACACAGCAGGGGGGGGGGGGGGGGGGGGACAGTTGCCAATCACAAATTTTGCCGGGGACATGTCCCCGGCGTCCCCGGTTAAAATGACGCCTATGGCTGGAGAAGAGGATCTCCACGCTCCATCAAATCCAAGACCATGAGCGCGACGTGGACACCATTTTCTCTCGGACCTTCGCCACCACTGATGGGGCTCAGCTGGCGGATGCCGTCTCATGCCAGCCCGGCGTAGCTGTTGGAGCAAATTCCATCTCCGGTTCTCCAAGCAGGCTCGGAGTGCCGGGGGCCTGCACAGCATTTGCGACGGATGAGGAGCACTGGTTTAAGCTGGGGGCAAAGCCGAAAGCCCCCCTCAGCTCCACTCCCTTGCTCCAGGGTGCATGGGTCAAGGTTGGGTCCGGCCAAGGTGGGGGTACGCGGGACGGCGGCCGCCGATCTCCTCCACCTAGCCTGTCCTTGTCCAACCGTTTTGGCACCTTCGAGTTGGATTTTCCTCCTCTGCCAGCCTCTAGCCGTGA